TTGGGGAGGGTAAGCCTATTGGAAATTGCTAATGATTCATAATTTGGTAAAAAAAATCTCTAAACATGTGCAGAATATTTCGTCTTTTTAATTAAGCTTAGATTTTATCTGAGCTAGCTTTTGTCCTGGACTCTTTGAACTGACCTAGGAAGAAGGGGGATGAAAGCCTTGTCCCATCATGTTTTTCTCATGATGGGACCACTCCATCAAAGCCAATCCACGAGATGCTCTGTTCAATTGGTCCATCCAATGATTTGACTGCAGCAACCTGAGTTATGTTCTAGTGTTCAAACTCTTTCTTTCTTTGTGGCACATATTTGCATGCAAAGTCACACTTGAACCAGATCAGATAAAGAGATAAACACCCAGCAACACCATCCATTAAAAATGTTAAACTCACTTACTTTGGAACTTGGTTTGGTTTTGTGGCTCAGTGGTTTGTTCAAATGTAGAAAATGGGAGACTTCGATATCCAGCTTAAGCATGTTGTGTAAATAACCCTAAACAGCTTTAATCATCTTGCCATATTCTGCCAGGCTGTTCACACAACATGCCAACACAATGGCTGGGTCTCCATAACATACTGAACTACAAATTACATTTTAACTTTGCCACCTAGATTGCACAAATCAAGCCATAACTTCAGAGCAGAAGTTATGCCTTGGATTTATAATCCTTCCATATTTTGCCATTACTTTCCCCCTTTTTATTCTTTTCAACCAGAAAATAAAGCATTTAAGAGGAAAAAGCAAAACTCTCTCAGCTCAACCCACCTCACAGGATTATGGGAAAAATAGAAGGAGAAAGGAGCATTACATACATTCACTACCTTAAGTTTCTATAAAATTAATAAAAGTGGGATTAAGGCTGTAAATCAGTTTGGTCTAGTGGTTAAGGCGCCAGGCTAGAGAGCAGAAGACCATGGATTCAAATCCCATCTTAGCAATGAAAACCAACTGGGTGACCTTAACCAATCACTCTCTCTTAAGCCCAATTCACAACACAGGGTTGTTGTGGAGAAAATAGGAGGGAGGTATGTTGGATGTGTTCTCGCTGTCTTGAGTTATTTATAAAAATAATAAAGGTGCGATTCAAATAAATAAATACATTAAAAACAGCAAATATCAAGAGAAGCAATTAAAAAAAACTGTCTGTTGGGAAGCATTCTAACTTGTAGAGTTGGACCTTTCAGGAGCAGAGCTGAAAAACCAAACTGCAAAGCAAGTTGATCTGACCCACACCCATGGATACAGCCATGATGCCACTGTCTCCTTCAGCATCCAGTTCTCTAACCCCTATGAGCAGCTTTTCACTGCAGAAACGTCTCCCATTGTCACACCTATGAATTCAAAGGAAGGTTCTCTAAAACCTGTTCAAAGAAGAGACTAGGATGCACATGTAAGAGCAGGGTTTCTGTTGCCCTCAAGCACCACTAGTATCTTCTTTCATTCCTTCTCTCCTTCTGGGCTGCTAAAAAAAGTATCTGATGGTTTCTTCGCTTGGAAACAAATTTTGCTCTCTCATAGAAGCCAGAATAAACAGTATAAGTAAAAAAAAACCTGAAATCCAGATATTTTTATTTTATTCAATCACTATGGCTGGCCACTCACAAATGTCTAAAGGTAACTAACAGCATTAAAAATGGCAAATATTTTTTTTTAAATCCAGAACATCCTCCCCCCGAAATCAAGAGACTCTATAGCATAGGATCAAAATTCACATAAACATTAACATTTCTGGCTCACACAATATCCTGGCCCGGTGCCTCATGAACTGCTAGGTCATCAAAGCCTTTTTAAAGGTCAGACAGCTCAGGACCATACAGATTTGGGGGGTGAGGGTGCGGGTGCTGCTCCACAGGGCAGGAAGAGTGACCAAAAAGGCCAGCTTCCCAGGTCTTGCTAGATCAACTGTGTGAGAGATGGGTGGGGTGTCAGCTTGATCTATTGGTAAGCACCATGCAACATGTTACTTGATCTAAAATGTAAAATACTAGATGTCAAAGGAATTATACTTGACAACATAGATCAGAAAGTTCCTATTTCAGGAATCTAAAGTAAAATTCTCTTTATTTATCCCAGATTTTTCATGGTACTAGATTTCTAAAATTGAACATGTTGGGGACTCAAAACCTATCAGGAAATTATACCCAACTGGCATAGATACCCTTGGTATGCAACCACTTTCTAGAAAACCAAAGAAGCATTCTCAGCAATTTAAAAAAAAACAGCCTTGATTTATAGAAAAGCATGGAGCTAGATTAAAATCAAGGGGTAAGGGGCTCATTAAAAACCAGGGTGCTTTGATCCAATGCAGGGATCACTCAAGGACCCCGCCTCTTTTGTGTGTCACCGCTGTAACTGCAAGGAATCCAGACTATTTCCCCCCATTAAACAGTGTCCAATGCAGTAAGCTTCTCGGGAATATAAAAATAGCTTTTGCTCTCCTCATAACGGTCCAAATCACATAAATAGCAAAACATCTTGCATTTTTGGGTAGATCCAGATCATCATTTTTACAAAAGGGTTGGAGCTAAATCCAGGATGCTTGGGCTTGGAAAGTTCTTCCTGAAAACTGAGACCCTGAAGTAGAGCCACTCCCAAAAGTAGGCAGTATAAGCATGGATGTGTGCAATTTGTTTTAGATCCATTGGGTCTGTTGAGTTTTGTTTTGTGGTTTCTGATTCAGAAGAGGGACAAGCAGTAAGTCTGATTTAGGACTCTGAAATTCATCCTTCCTTCTCTTAAAGCAAACATAGCTCCCACCCCCACCCACTCTTGCCAATAAGTGGGATAATATAATGACTAAGGAGAAGCCCTGATTTCACCTAGCCATTCTTCACCAAGCTTTGATGCTTCTACATACCTTCTGTAATGGTAACAACAGCTTACTACTTTGAAACAACTGAGATAATAAAAAGAACATTTTGAAGGTAGATTTGCATATATACCTTACAAAATTTATTAGTCCTTAAAATACACACATGTATTCAAACACTACATGTGAAATCAAGTATTGCATTTATATCCTTCCTTTCTTATAGGAGCCACAGTGGAATACATAGCATATTTTCTGTCTATTTTTCTCCAGAACAACAGTCCTGTGAGGTGGGTTGGGTTGAGGCACCCTCCCACACCTTCATTTCAGCAGGTAGAAGATAGCAGTAGATGGAAACACCCCTGTCCATTTTACTGATCTCATTCACTTAAAATGGATCATTCATAGGTGTTTCCGGCTAGTCTGCTGGTGGAGTACATAAAAGCACATAAATACAAAATATGATTAGGGCAGAAGAATGTAAGAGGAACTTGGCTGCATCAGATCAAAAGGTTTCTTTCTTCATCTGATCCAGCTGAGTCTGCACAAATTAGACCAAAATAAGGGGGAGGTTTATAGATTGGGGTTCAGCACACTGAATGAATTCAATTCATTATATTAAATCATAATGCAATTTGAGCATAGCAGAGAAAATGCAGATAATCTGCATTTTGTTAACCTGGCTTTTGGGTTTAGCATGTTGAATAATACTAGCAGTTCAAAGTAAACTGCCCTGACTACTCACATGCTACCAGTCTTATGTTCAACATTTTCCTAATGACATTAAAAACCCTAAACAGCTTAGAAACCCTCTATTAAGAGGGAGAATTTGTCCCAATATATGCAAGCCTGAAAATTAAGACCTACAGGGTGGTTTCTTCTTGGCATCCCAAGGTTAGGAAAAGTGCATGATGTAGGGCAGAGAAAAGGACCCCTTCTGTTGTGCAACCCCAGAACAAATGTCCCTTCTTGGAGACCAGACTGATAGCCACTTTGCTTATATTTCTATGACAAGTAAAGACTTTTCACTCTGTCATTTGGAACTTAACCTCGGTCTGGTAATGCCCTGTTGATTCTTGTCAACATCTGTGTCTCTTGGTTATGTTAGTAAGGCAATTGCTGTTTTACCCCACTTATTTTATGGATTGCATCCTACCCCATCCTAAGGACAATGTGTTAGCTATAAATATTAATAAATAAATTAGTAAACCCAACCAAGTGTAGCCTCTGGACGCTTGCAAGGAGGTTCAGCATCAAGGGAGATTCTCCTTCCTATTCCTTCCTACTGCTGCTTCCCATCCATTAAGTACATTGCTTTGGAACAGGTCAGTGGCATGTAGCCATAATAGTTGCATCTTTGCCATGCTTTAGCTTCTCCAGAAAATAAAGGGGCTTCTTCTAGCTTTCGGAGGTCCTTCCAATGGTTTTTTTTTAATGGCAAGGGTGCTGCAGCTGGTATGCCATGTGGGAAATATGGTTCCCCCTTGATGTCTGCCTATAAGGTTTGCCACCTCCTTCCTTGCCGTCATGCATTCGAAACGAGAAGACACCCCACTTCCCATGAAAAAGAAGATGGTTACAATTTTGCATTGGTTACCAAGGGCAGAAAATCCAGAGTAAAGTAAGAGCAACCTAGGAGGAGCTTACACAGGATGAGACGAAAGGGTCTATCTACTCCATCCTCAGTATTCTGTTTCCAGCAGCAACCAACAGCAATCCTTTGCCTCCTACTCCTAGTTAAGATCCAACGGCTTCCAGGTCCTATTTTTGGCTTCGGCACTTGCAATTAAAATAAATTATCCTGAGCGATAGCGAGGCACTCAGTGAACTAATGCTCTGTGCTCTACAAAATAATGAACTTTTGCATCTCACACGTCTCAAAAGATGCTCTAAATAACCTGCCACCACCAGCCTTTAATGTTGTAAGATATTTCACCTATCTGGAGCTGGACTGTATTGCACAGATAGGCAGCAAGGCAGGAAAACTCCTCAGGCAGAAACAAACCTACCGGTTCCTATCTGAAGTCAACCCAGCGTTTCTGAAATGTCACGAGTCTGGCATCCTCCTACACTTTCAGGGATAGACTGTCTCTGAACATGGAAGATCTTCCTCAGGGAATCGCACACAACCGTCCCTTTCCCGCACGGAGCCCAATACTAGACGAGTCGACCCACCTCCTTACCTGCACCGGTGCCTCCCCGGGACAGCCTTCTAATCCTTCGGCGGGATACCCTTCAGTGCTCCCGGGCATTTGCTCCGAGCACGGAGAGCTTCCCCGAGACGGGACTTCCAACTCCAAGGCTGTCTGGGTCCCTTCGGCTCCGCCAGGGCTCCCGGCACTTTCCGGCATCGCTCCCACCAAGATGTGCCCTCCGCGCTCGGCTGCGCCGTCGCCGGTCTTGCTCAGCGCCCAATCCTGGAGGAACTCCGCATCCCCCCAGCCTTGCCTCTTCATCTCTCGGCGCGAAGCAGCGGGGGCGACGTTCCCTTCGGACTCGGCTTGGAGGAGGAGGAGGAGGAAGAAGAAGAGGGGGCGGCGGGAGCGGTTACCGCAGCGAGACCGGCGGGGTTGGGGGAGCGCGGGCTGTCGCTGCCACGGGACTCGGGGACCCGCGCTGGCATCCCAGCGCCAGCCCAAAGCAGCGTTTGAGGGAAAGAGCGGAGCTGCAGCTGCTTCCCCGCCTGACTGGAAGGACCTGGAGGCAGCGGCGGCGGCTCCTCAGCTCGCGCGCCCTCCGCCTGCTGAGCTGTCAGTGGTTTGGCAGCAGGAGGAGGAGGAGCCGGCGGCGGCGTCCCTCGCGGTCCGCCATACAAAAGGTCCAGGTCTCCAGCCCGTTTACATGCCCTCGCTTGGCAGGCGGCTCTTCGGCGCCTTTTGACTGCACTTCTCGGCGGGCTCTCTCGGCTGCTCGCTCCGCGCATCCACGGCGCTCGCTCCTTGAGCTCCGGGCCGCCGCCGCCGCCGCCGCCGCCGCCACCGTCTCCTCGTTCTCCCGTGTGCTGTGGGACTACGGAGGTTTCGTCAGGCCGGACGGCTGCCTCATGCTCAGTCGCCCCCCCCCGCCCCCCCCTCCGGGGACCGGCTTCGGAGCTAACCGGTCGCCTTGGCTTCCCAACCGGCTGGAGCGAATTTCCTCAGGCTTGGAAACGAGAAGCCGCAGCCGAGGCAGGAGGGCCCGGCCCGGGTTCTTGCGAGCCCTCCAATAAGAAGTGGCTCAGGCGGTTTCCATGGAAATGGTGGCAAGAGTGTTGGGGGGGGGGGGGGGGCGCGCGGGCTGGTTATTGATTCGAGGTTCCGGGACTGCAGCAAAGGGCCGCCGCCGGGCGAGGAAGGAATCTGGTGGCGGGGACGAAGCGGGGAGGGTACGACCCAAAGTGGTCTTCTCCAATCTCAGGGTCGCCAAGATCCCTTTGCAACCCAGGCAACAGTCCCTTGGCTGGGCTCTGAGCCCTTGTTGTTAAACCGGTCTGTCTTTGGTCTTGCCTAAAGGGCGAAGCGAAGCGGTGCTTTTGCACCACAAGGTAGCCTCCGATGTAGTTGGCTTTGAGCTTGCATTTGAAGGAAGCGTGAACCTAGCGTCAACGGGAGGTTACTCAAGAATCGTGATTAACAAAATCTTAGCTTTCTACCGCGTCTGAGTCCAGCCACAGTCTAATTCATTGGAGAAAGCAGGCTAGGATGGGCATGAGCTTGGGGGCAAAAACATGAGCTATCCAGAATTGCCTTGTGGCGAGAAGGGAGTCAAACAAATTTAACAGATAATAATTATTTGACCCAAGTGTAACCAGCTGATTATAAGGCATGTGTTTTCAGGACTCTGAACACTAGCTCAGGCAATTGGCTGCCCTTGACAAAGGGATGTTACGAAAATATCACATGCACACTCACACACTATACTATAACCACAAACTACAAAAGGACACTTTTCATCCTACAACCAAAATAAGCTGCCATATCTTAAGGTTCTTAAGGCCAGTCTCTGTTGTGAGAAAAATAATAGAGGATTATGTACTTTGCCTTGATCGATATGAACTTCAGGGTATATATCTAATAAATAAAATTGAAATACACTGCAAATCCATTATGGACAATATTGTTGACTCTGTTGGCAGCTTTCAAGAAGGTATCTCCCCATCCTATAGTTGTGTTTTGTTTGTTTTCTTTTTATTGGAGGTTTAAGGATTTGAACCTTGGGATTTCTCCTATGAACAGCCTCTTCCTAAACTGATCATTCAGGTCACTGCTTAGCATTCACCTTTCCCAATCTTGTCGTCAGGTTTGGTTAAATGGTTAAGGCACCAGGCTAGAAATTAGGAGATTGAGTTCTAGTCATGCCTTAGATATGAAAGCTGGCTGGGTGACTTTGAGCCAGTCATTCTGTCTCACCCATGATGATGTCAGATTTGGATGAAAAGCCCTTTAATCAATTTCTGTTGCAACCAATGGATCCACATTCAATTGATTCAAAAAACCCTTTTTAAAAGTGAACCCTGCACTTATGAGAAAAGGCTAGGAAAATAAAAAATACTGGTATCCTCTGATTTGGTTCAACTACAACGGTCCAAATTTGATACCGATTTGATATATATTTTATCTTATTTTTATTTATTTTATTCATTTTGTATATTTTTGATATATATTTGATTCATAATGGGGTTTTGTTTTAGCTTAGTGTGTTATTTATCATGGCTAATAAACAGTAACTGATCATGTATTGCCATGTGCAAATCTAACCATTTGTTACTCACGTAAAGCAAGACACCATGTAATGTACAAATAGCCGGTAGTGATTGATCAATAAACTGGAAAGTTGCTATCTCCTAAAACATGCCCTGTGAATTCAGCCACTAGATTTGAAATGGAACTCCATATATTCATATATGAATACAATCATTTTCTTGGTATGTGGTATGGACCAGGCCATCATCATAAGACATATATTGTTTTGGCATACCGGTAGAGCATAACAATTATATTTTAATAATCCAAGTTTAATGTTTGGGGTGTTGTGTGTACCCAGCCCTTGAGAATGAAAGAATTTTCAGAGTCACTTGGGGGAAATTCGTGAGCATTTCAGGTTATGTGTCTTAACTACAGAATATCCCAGGCAGAAGTAAAGCACCTTAAGGACTCACATATATGTCACCTATTCCTCAATGCTTCAACAATGGCAGAGTTTCCAAAGCACTTGAAAAGTTGTAATACCTTCAGAGGCATATCTCCTTGAAAATACACCATGTTGAATTGTTTAGCCCAGTGAAACATCAGCAAAGGAAATGTTTTATGGCATTCTGCATTATGTCATAAAGTGTTTTATGATAATTTTCATATCATAAAATGTTTTATGAAATTTGCCAAATTTCAGTTCTACAAGAATTATGGTCCCAGATTTTGGATGCATTTTGCAAGGCAGCCCATTTGAGTACCTTGGTTCAAACCCGTTGCCCTACGATGCTCTGCTTCATCCAGTTGCACCTGTAACCCACAGCTGCACCCAGTTGCATCCCCAAATCACAGTCAGAGGTTATGGGAACACAGTTGTTAGTATTATGCAGAAATGTGGATATACAAATGTTATACTTCAGTTCCTTTTCTGGACTATACTATTCTGTCAAGGGTCCAGTGATTTTGTAAGTTAGTTCAACAAATCAGAAAATTGTGGTGTTCAAGATGGTACTCCAGATGAGACACGCCTGTTTCAGAATGGGCACCACACTCCCTGTGTACCACAAACAGTCCAGAAGAATAACTCCTGGAAAAATGCCAGACCACCCTAGAGCAGCAGGATCAAAGGGAAGTTCTATTCTCCAAATAGTATGTTTTGCTTAAGCTGAGTTCATACCATTGGAAAGGGGACAAATTAAAATCAAAGTCTTTAACTGGGGGTCTATGGATCCCTTGGGGGGGATGTCTGTGAATCGTGTTAGGGGATCTGTGAACACAGATTTGAAAAATATTACAATTTATTTTCCTTAACCTCTAATTTGTATTTTAGCTTTTAATACAATAATGTATGTTGGCAAAGTGATTTATGATCTGCAGACTCCAAAAATGTATGCTATTTTAATCTCACTGTCTAAATTTCTTATGCCCTTAAAACAGTATATATTATCTTGTTATTGATTTAAGGGATGACTCAAAAAAGCACACATATTACATTTGGTTTTTTTACACGTTTGTTAACCATATTTGAACAGTATGGCTTCCTTTCTAATACAACTCATATCTATGCATTTTTGGATGGCATATTACCCATTTAAAATCATTTTTTTCTGAGGTTTCCTCAAACTTTCAGGGGCATCCAAGCAGTGATGGGATTCAAAAATTTTTACTACCAGTTCTATGGCCGTGGCTTGGTGGGCGTGGCAGGGGAAGGTTACTACAAAATCCCGATTCCCTCCCCCCCCACTAACCTGCTTTCCAGCTCCATTCTCCTATGCAAGGCAACAAAAGAAGACCCAGCCAATCAGCTGGGACTCAGAGAATAGATGAGAGCAGGGCCAGTCAGAGTTGGTATTTGCTGGTTCTCCAAACTACTCAAAATTTCTGCTACCGGTTCTCCAGAACTGGTCAGAACCTGCTGAATACCACCTCTGCATCCAGGGCACAAAAAACGTTTAAAACCCCCGTTTTAGAGCAAGAAGCAGTCTGAAGGAGGTGACTATTTACTATATGTAGCATATGGCAAAATGTTAAAAAGCATATCACAATTACATTCTCAATGAGCAAACATGGAACTATTTACTCTATTTACAAATTCAAAGGTAGACTATTTATACAGTCAATACGTGATGGACTTTGCATACAGAAAGTCTCTGGAGTTTCCCCGATATGTGCTTGGAGGGCACTACTCCACACCGCAACTACTATTCTGAAGAAGAGAGCTTTCCCCACTTATGGAAGAAGCTGGTGCACCTGCCATGTTGAGTCCTTAATCCTATTGAGGATTGCCCAGATCTTATGAGGTAGATTGAATCTTTTTGGTCCAGCTGTAAAGCAGGGAATGTTGTAATACACTGGAGAAGCAATAAAGGGTCATTTTTTGCATCCAGGCCTGAAGCAGATTGAAGTTCTAATCTGACAATTTCTGACAGTCCTAAAAGGTCTGGAGAATAGCCTGTTGGTTATAACATCAGTGATATCTGCATTGATTGGCAGGTGAATATTACTAATTATTTTTCTTATACTCTTGCAATATAGTGTTTTCTCTTCAGAGGTCTGGTGGAGGAATATGGCTCAAAACTGGTAACCAGAAATGGGGGGTAGATCTTATTGTGTCCTATATGATGCTCATAATATAATTCAGCAATGTATTGATCAATCTGTTACGGCTATTTATCCAGACTGAATTTATCCTGATTTGGCTGTTGAAAGACAAGGCTGAACATCTGAAGGAGGTGGTATACTGGAGGTGCTCATAGTAAAAACTACTTCCTTTAAATTGTGGTGATTAA